TGGAAGGGAAGATTTGTTGCATTGTCTTTCACTAGACAATGAGATACACACGGATTTGAAAATACGAGCATCCATGTTTTGTTAGAGTAGAAGAACTGAATCCATGCAGGGGAAAAATCTCTTCATTCCCAGTACTGTACTGTTAATGCTTAGTGATCTTCAAACATCAAAATCCAAACAGTTTTGTCAGCGTTTCAATTTGGCAAAGATTTCAGTAATATTGTCTTTAATGTAGCACTACTGATTTCAATACAATTACACCAGGGATCATTATTGCCTCTGTTCTGCAGCACAGAAAATACAACAGTATCCTGAATCACCCAAATCTGACAGTGTTTCTCAAGATTAGGCATATTTACTGCAGGAGGCTATCTTCAGTCAACTTTTGACATTTGCTTCTTTTTGAGATTATCAGCTTCCTTGAAAATGTACTGAGCTGCAATAGGAAGCACGTCAGCAAGCACTTCTCTCAAGGAGAGGCAGTGATTGTTCCTGTAGACAGTTGTAAATAAGAAAAATGAAAAGGAGAGAGAAGAAAAAAGACCTCAAAATATAGCAGCACAGCATCAACTGTCTTTATGTTATCAAAGAATGTCAAATGGAAAACCTGGCAAATGCCTCTGGGCATCAGATGAATACACTGCAATTGTGCAGGACTAGAAATGTGTTTTTCTTTATGAACAATGTTTATCAAAGGAGGTACAAAATCAGCAAGATTGATGGGTTGAATTGATCACCAGCTGGGGCAATCTACAGGTGACTCTTAAGGTCCTTTGGTGGCATATCAGTGAATGGAAGTGGGAATAAAAGGATTTACTTGTTACACTAAATTGTCGCCCAATAGTTTTATGCAATATTAAAGTAAAATGCAACATTGAAAGTAAAGAATGTTTTTTTTTTCAGTACAGCAATTCTACTCTGTTCACTGAAGGCACTATGCTTTATTTCCTTGACAGTGCTAAATGTAAACAACTTAAAGCCCTTGGGTTTTACTGTCCTGAAGTATGAAACTGGAATTTATTGCACATAAGAGAGCTGAGCACTGCATCTGTGGCTGTCACTGTGTCTCTTGTATTCCAATACTGGCAACAGCTTCTTTCTGTGCTCTCCAAAATCTATTCTCTTATTTCTGTCCGCACCATAATTTGTTCACAGAATTGTGACCTGTTTACATTTTTTTCTTAAAGCACATGAGGAAAATTTGCTCTGCTTTCAAAATAAACACAAAGCTGCTGGGTATCTCTGCCATCTCCCTGTGTGCAGAAAAACCAAGTCACCTGAGAGCTGTGGTGACCTAGTGCAGTGCAATCCTAGTGCCCTTTCCACTTCAGTAGCAGAAAGCCTTTTTAATGGCGTGATTTAATTTCTGCTGAAGGATTTAGCCCTGAAGAAATTGTACTCTCTCAGTAAACGAAGGAATAGTTGTACCAAACTTTACGTGGCGTAGCTGATTGCTGTACCAGTGAAATGTTGCTTTCTCATAGTAGAGCATATTCACATTCCATTATTGGAACAAGCTGTAGAAATGCCTGTATATTTGCAGTGGTATAACTGCCCGCTCTTGCAGTGCTCTGCCCTTTCAGCAATGTCTAACTATACAGCACAACACAGGTGCATCGAGAAGTTCCAAGATGTAGTAGAGAGTTAAGGCACGTATCAGGTAATGATGGAAGAGTAATACTGAAATACTAGCATGTGACTGCTTCAATTACAGACTTAATAAAGTATAACATTGGTAACACAATATTGTTAACTAGGGGTAACTCAGATGGCAAGCTGACTTCAGGCTCTATTCTCATACTAGTGTTCTCTGTTTAACAGAACTGGGGAACACCTCTTTTTTCTGGGGTAAGTTTTGCAAGAATTTTAGAAGATATGTAATCCAGATTTCATAGCTGTGAAGGACAGATGGCAGTGAAGCATCTTTTATTTCCAAACACATCTGGCTCTGTCCTGCATCTGGCATGTCAGCTTCGATGTTGACTGCCTCACAGGACTGGAACACAGGAGCTGTATCAAAGCATCCCACATGGCTGTATCACCACCTCCCTCTTCTGCCCTGTTTGCTCTTGGTCACTTCAGATGTGTCAAAGCCTTCCTTCTAGGTTTCTCATGAAAATGGCCTGGAAAATGTTTGCTTGGAGGAGGTGAGAGATTTTTCCAGTTCAGTCTACTTCTTGAATGCCATGTCAAGGATCTGGCAGAGAAGAATAGATCCCACAGCTGGCAAAGCTCTTGTGCATAGTGCCCCGATGTGTGCCTGCATGTTTGTCTGTTGTGTTTGCAGAGGGTATATAAATACATGTAACCTCAACTTATTGGCAAATAGATTCGCTGAATTTTAGGAAGTACTCCTCATAAATGTTTCCATTTCACAGAGTCTTCTTGTCTGGATTCTTTGGCATAGTATTTAATGATTGCCTTCATTTTCACCTTACAAAGGGGTGCCAAAAACATCAAAGCTACCAGTTTCTCTGGTTTTGATAAAATATGCTGACATTTCACGCAAGAGGATTTTCATAGGATTCTTGTCTCTAAATATGTCTTTTAAAAATCCCATTGATGCTTTCCAGTTTCAAGTGCATGCTATTAATAGGTCAAAAAAAGAGGCTTCTGGGAGAAAGAAATCATGTGAGTTTGTAGCTCATATGTTTCACATAAACAAAGGCCAAAAGGAAATCTGTAGAAAATATCTTTCTTGGTACACAGCGTTTGTACTGAAGAGACTGGCCTCTCCTGCCTGAACGTCATCATGCAAATTCTGTGAAAGCACGCTTTCACAAAAAAGCCCGAATTTTATCTATCCTCCTATAATGAGTAAATGAGTAAATGAGGAGTGACTGGAAGCTAAGTATCTCTTGATCTGTCCAAAGACCAAGGGCCTTTTTAGGACTCCTGGAGCCAAATCTACAAGGGGTTTAAAACAGAGAAGGCTGCCTTCATTTTTAGAGTTTGATCATTAGAATATGGAGCTTTATCCAACAGAGCATCACACAAAGTATCAGATTTGAGGCCACAGCTGGGTACGACACATGCAGCAAATACATTTCTGCATCTGCATGCTAAAAAGACACGGAGCAACAAATTTCTGCATGCTGCATTCCATTTTAAAGAAAAGACATACAATTTCTAAGGAGCAATCAGCTTTCATACTGGTATGGACTGGATGTACTGCAGAAGGTACCCCTCTGAGCTGTGATGTGAAGGCCTCTTAAATGCAAAAGATAAGCACAAGTTTTTAAATGCGTAGTACACAAAAGATGTGAAGTCATGACCTGCAAGTCCCTCTTTGACTATTATATTCTGATTCTCTGTTTGTCTGGGGTTCTCCAGAGAGAGGACAATTCAGTAGTGCCATTGGGCTGGAGGAGATGATGAACTTCTCCAGGTCAGCAGTCTTGTGGTTTCAAGCAAAGGACCCACCAGGAAATCTTACTACCAGCCCACAGGAGATAGTCGGAAGCGCTAGTAGGTGATAGTGACAGCAAAAGGGCTAATGAAATGCAGAAGCTGTGGCTGAAAGTAAATGTCCTTAATGTTTTATGAACATCTCAAAGGCCCAGCAACTATGAGTAAAACAGACTTATCCACTTGTCTTTTGCTTTGGTCTGTGTCTGCTGCCTTATTAAAATGTAACTGCTTGATGTCAAATAGGCCATGCAGAGACAAAAATAGCTTATGCATAGATGCTATGTCTATATATACACTGAAAAACTAACTAAGCTCAGTCTCTCATGTCAAAAAGCTTTCTATTTTCGGCTGGGTTTGAAGCCTACTTTTGGTGGTGAGTGTATTCTCTTTATACGTAGTTTGCAAAAATCAGGTTCTCTTCCAGCTACAAACACCTCATTGAAAAGACTGACAGTGTACATTCAAGCAGCCTCTAAATTTTGATTTCTTTGAACTGATGATTTGTTTTTTAGACTTCTCTGGAGAGGATGCACACTTTCACATGCCTCCTGAGAAAGCATTTCCAATCACTTTGGAAATTCAGAATGAAGGCTCCCCTCTCTGGCCAAGGAAAGGGTTAGTTTGTCAGTTCCCTGGCTGACCTATGTTTCCACCTCTCCATTCCCCTCTTGCCAAGTCCCACAGCCCAGCATGGCTTCGGACTGTTGATTTTTCTTTCACCAAGTGAGCCCTATGAGGCCATGTCCTGTCAGCATCCCCTGGGATGGATTTGGCGAAGATATGCAGGCTGATGAGCTGCTGAAAGGATTGCTTGGCAGCAGTGCATCTCCATGGCAGATCTTCCTGGGGGTGAGCCACAGCTGGACCACACAGTGGTTAGGAGAGGTTGTTGCCATGTTTTTGTGTAGAAAACCACAGTAAAACTCCCCAGAATTCTTTTCCAGGGTATAAGTTATTGTTATTTTCTGTAGCAGTGCTGCATCCTTGTATACCCACTGTTTCTGAAAGACTTGTATTTGTTTGTTTTAATCAGTTTTTGGCTGAAAGATAATGTGTGTGCTTGCTTGAATATATAGATTTACATGTTGTGTGTCTGTGTGCATGTCAGTAAATATACAGAGATCTGTCATATAAATAGGAAAAAAAAATGTTTGATTAATTCAGTAATGGAGTGATTTTACTTTTCATGAAATGCACTATACTTAGAACATACCACTCTTTATTTTTTTTATTTTTTTTAAGCTCTAGGATGTTTATGAGTTTAATCTTTCCAGTGCATGCTTTATCACTTGTGAGAGATCTAAGCTTTTTTTCAAAGACTTTTTTGGGTGGATTAAACTGTTGTTTCTATTAGGAACAAAAAATAATTTCAAATAAAGGAATTGAATGTAAACGCAATGTATACTGCAAAACCAATACTGCTAAATTTGTGTAAGTATCTAACAGACTCCCCAAAATTCACTGCTTAAAGCAGTGTCTGTAATTCAATGGAAGTAATCTAAAATTCAGATGCAGATGTAGCTCCTTCTCAGTCTTAAGATAGCTTTTTTCCTATCTGTTGCTAAAGTTTTTGTTTTTCTTCCTGATAGTCAAAAGCTCTTCGGGAAAAATGGCTCCTGCAGGGAATTCCTGCTGGCTCTGCAGAAGAAGAAGAAGCCAGAAGAAAGCAGTCAGAAGAGGATGAGCTGAAAGTGAAAAAGCTGGAAGAAAATATACACAGGTAGAGACTGTTTCCCTTTGTTTTGCATAAGAATAGTCTCTCCCGTTAAGGCTAGAAATATCCCTAACTCATGCCTCCATCCCCATCTCTGGTGGCAGTTAACAATATCTGCCTAGGGAGGCTGTAAGAGACAGGCAGACAGACAGCCCAAAATGTGTTCTCCCAGACTTCCACAGTTGGCAAATTAGAATTATAGCAGTATCTGCGTTGGATGGACTCAGACGGATTTTTTTCATGAGGGAGCTGAAAAGAGGGCTAAGTTTCCCCCTCAGATGCAGTTGTATGACTCAGACAACACTTGTGAGATTCTCCATTGCTTTATACCTCCTACAGCCAAAAGGACTTCAAAGAGTAGTGGCACTCTTTTGCACTCTCTTTTCTTTTGTGCAAATGACTTTTCAAAATGCAACAGCAGATGCCATCATCAGATCAATTACCTACAACTTTCCTAAGCAAGGCTTGGGCTTTAGAATTTCTTCCTTTTATCAGTTCACCATTGCACTCTAAATTAATGTTCGTTCTTTCTTAATGTGTGTGTGTGTTTCCCTGTTTTATTCCAAACAATGGATTGTAAAGCTCTTAAGGAAAATGGTCTTATCCCTCACAAAACTAATTCTAGGACTGCTCCTTCTGCCAGTTAGGCTGTTTGAATTTAGTTTTTTTCAGCTAGCAGAATACTTGTGGAAAGTTGGTCAGATTTGGTGCCACAGATTCTACAAATCTACCAGCTGAAACATGCAAGGGAGAAAAGAAAGAAAATAAGACCAGTTGTCCCAGGGTTGAAGTATTAGACTAGAATCCGGTCAGTTTTATTTGCTTATGCCAGGTTTCTTGTGAAATTTCTTGGAGAAATTCCTGCAGATGTTTTCTAGGGATATACACAAGGAGATCCACGCTGAGTTTGTAAGACACTGTGGAAGTAATGTATTAGCACGACTGTGAGAATTGACTCATTACTAGTCTCTCTCCCGTTATTAATATTAATTTAAACTGAGCATGTGCATCATTCTTCTATATCTGTGGTTACATAAGGCAAGAGAGTTTTTTTTTTAAGTTTCATACACTGCCTGATCCTTTACTCCATAAATTAATGCAGTAGATGGGGAGAATACATAGACTGAAGTTCAAAAGTAGTATAATACATATTTCATCTAGTGGTGAATGCTTCAAAGTGGTAAGTTTTCTGACCCCATCCAACAAAACGCTTCAGCATGAACTTAATTTCACCTATATGAATACCACCACTGAAAGCAATGAAACTTCTGTGCTTTAAAGTTTTACTTCATTAATTGAAAGAATAGGAAGTAAGTCAAGCAAAATCCTTATTCATGTGGTTTGTGTTTTTATATTCTTTAACTGCAACCATGAAATGAAGTCATTAAGTATTTGGAAGTAATGGAGCTCCCTTCAGCCATGGTCACAAATGACAGGTCAGCATGTTACCACTAATTTGAAAGGATATTTGTTTGACAGCCTTGCTAGCAAGCTGAAATTCCCTGGCATCTTTCCAAGGGAACTCCAAAGAAAGTAAAATCTATTTTGATTTTAATAACACAGTACTACACCTGAACTTTAGAGACAGGACAGTAGAAATTCAAGTCATTAATTTAATCCCCGTTTACATCTGTGACAACATGACCCTTTGAAACACAGACCATCAAGATAAGCTGAGAAAGAAAAGGCCAATCAGAGATGTAATATGTCAGGTATGTTATCTGGAGGGCTGAAGCTGAATTAACTCATCCTGAAAGTATTTGCTTGCTTCTTGCACAACTCATTTAGGGTTTGTCTCTTCTGGAAAACATGCAAAGTTTTTGCACTTGCTCTAAGAACAGTGTGAAACTTTCTTATTGAAGTCAATGTCCATCTTCTTCTGGTAACAAGCAACCATGCCCTGCTTTAACAGGGGGGAACATGCAGCCACTCCCTTCCTCTTGCAGAAGTGCAACCCATCCTGATCTCAGAGAGCACAATTTCCCCTTCTTATGCTGAACTGCTTAGGAAGCTACCTTTCTCACATCTCTGGGTTTGCTAGACAAACATTGATGGCACAAGAGAAATATCAGTCTTTATATGACAAATCATAAACACTAGGTCTGCCAAGCTGGGTGAGCTGCAGTGTTTAGAGTAGAAAACTGAATGTATTTGAGGCCAGAGTAACATTCAGCAATGAGGACACAGACCCATGTAGGACTGAGTTATCTGGAAGTACCAAATATATCTACCTTAGGGCAACAGTAGAACTGGCTATGGATTTGTATATGGACTTCAGGGCCTTGAACACAGCAGGAATGATTCAGTTCAGTTTTGCTTTTTCTGGCTTATTTTATGTGACTTGTATACTAAAAAAAATAATCTTCTGTTGGATATACACATGCTTTTAATGTTTAGTCTTAAGCTAATGTTGCCAGTTCTCCTCTGTTTGGTAGCTGTTTTATTTTAACTGGGGCAGCAAAAATGCATGAATGTACAGACTGCTGTTTGTTTATTAGACTTTCCTGTTATCATGATATGAAAAAGCACATACTTCAGCTTGGAGCCTGCAAGGATATGCACATATGAGTAAACTTACACAAGTAAGTACAATGATTTAATGAGCTTCCCCAAATGTAGAAGAGTTTGGAAGAAGAAGGTCTCCATTATTCAGCATTTCTTCATAACAAGTGACAGAAAAAAATGCCAGTACCATAAAAACAGAAATAAAGCAGAATAGCCCACAGTAAAGAACGTGATACAAATAATGAAATTATATCATGCAGTTATGCTGTTGATTACCTGCAAGTGTATATGGAAGTGCAAGATGAAGATACAAGTTCAAAAGTAAAAGATTAAGATGTAGTCACAGGAATTATCTATTAGTGGGTTGCAGACAATGATCCATTGATAGTCATGATTAGCTCTTTACCTTTAGAATTTAGAAGCATGTGTACACTAGGAGCAGTATTTGCATCCAACAATTCAAAGTGAGAATAGAAGAATAAGCAGCATTGAAACAAGTTTTGTTCTGTACTCCTGGCATTCATGCTTGTCCAACTTGAGTCATCAGAGTAAGTCTTGTGCTGCCTCATGAGAAAATGCTGGTATTCTCTCTTGCTTTCTTTCTTTTTTTCAACTGGTATGGCTAGTGGACTTAATAGGAAAACTAGATTCCTATTCCTAACATTGATTGAATCTTAGATGGAAGGTAAGGGGAAAGGGATTACTGCAGCATCAAGTGCATGAAACCTCGCTGCAAGATAGGTGGTATTGTTATATAAATGGTAGATCAGAGCCAGACATATACTTGAAATATCTATTGGCATATACTGTCCTGAGTCACAGAGAAGTTTTGAAACTAATCTAGTTTTCCTTGTTCTCACAAAGAACCTGGGTCAGCATTAGAGGAAAGCAGACAGTCCTGTGTTTCTTTCCCAATGTTGCACAGTGACAAAATTATCTTCTGCTTTCTGCAGTTGCATTAGATTTTGAATTAATGCTTCCAAAGGAGCAACAAATAAACAAGAACCACTTTCCCTTCCTTTCATCACAGAATCACAAAATCACACAAATAGGGATTGGAAGGGACCTCTGGAGATTCTCCAGTCAAACCTCCTGCTAAAGCAGGTTCCCTACAGTTTGTCATGCAGGAAAATGCCCAGGCATTTCCTGAATATCTCCGAAGAAGGAGGCTCCACAACCTCTCTGGGCAGTCTGTTCCAGTGCTCTGTACACTCACAATTTTTAAGTTCTTCCACATAGAATCATAGAATCACAGAATTGCTCAGGTTGGAAGAAACCTTCAATATCATCAAGCCCAACTGCAACCTAATCATATTATCCTAATTCTAACAACCCTCCACTAAATCACATCCCTGAGTACCAAATCAAAATGATTTTTTCAGTCATGGACAAAAAAATTTTTTTGGGGGATAGTAGTAATATAGATGCCCAGTGAACTTACACAGACACATTCTGAGTGGTGTGTTGTAGATGAAACAGGCACTGGAATGTATTGCATGCCTCCCATGACTATTTTTACTGCATGACAGTCTGTTATTTTGCAGCAGTGAATGGAAAGTTGGCATTCGACATCTGGGTATTAACAGGCAGAATTCATAAAGCAGAGCAGCCCACCCACAGCCTGCTGTTCCCTCACAGCATTTGAAAGGCTCCCAAAACTGTTTTGTTTTACTAGATTACATTATAGTATGTGCTGGCGGCCAGTGTTTACTACAAAAGGTGTAGAGTTTTCATTGCTCTAAAACTTTCGTCTAACACACCAACACGAAATGTTCTGTGAGAGCATATCTCCTCACTTAAGAGTAGATACCAGTTTGAGGCACCAGGAATGGACCCGTCACACTCCTGGAGAAAAGAAACTCACAGAACTAAACCATCAGTAAAGCAGTGTATTGAATGCAGCTTTAGAGTATTGAAAACACTCCATGGTTTGGTGGAGTGCTTCACCCACACGCATGCTGGTGGTAAACCATGGGTGTGCAAGCTCCAGGAGAAGAGTTCTGTACATTGATCCTTTGTGAAGAAGAAGCCCTTTGTAGGTCTTCTACATGCCAGTGTAGCAGAGGAAGGTCTGTGCTTTGGTACATTGGTTACAAGCTCTTTCATGGGGCAAACATTTGCTTACTGGTTTCTGGTGACTTACTGGTGTGGGCAAGTGACAAATACAAGCTGAAACTGCCACCTGCCCAGAAGTTTACATCTCAGAGAGCTGCTGTGCTGCACTTTTCCATACTTATAAAAGATTAGGAAGTATTTAAAGTTCTCATGAGCTGAAGAATGCCTGTGGAAGAGACTGAGGAACAGGGAGCTCACACCAGGAGGGTGAGTGGCACAGGGATTGGAGTCATTACAGTCATCTGTCTTGAGTGAAAGTGCAAGGTGCTCTGATGTTCTGTTACTCAAGCTGTGCCTGATTTACCAGCTTCTAGACATCAGGATAGATGCATATCCAAATGGGAACAAATCTTAACAAAACTGGCAGAATTTTTTTTTCCTTACTTTAGTATGCTGGAATCTTTCTTGGTAGATGCTCAAATGTGAGTATTAACTGAGAGGATGGGCTAGACTCTGGGAAGAGAAACCTTTATTTGAGAGGCAGGGTTTTTGTTATGTTTTGTTTTGTTTTCCTTAATGTACTTATTAGAATCACAGAATTCTCTGCGTTTGAAGGGTCCTT